CCTGCTCTCTTCCTCCCCTACCCTCCTCTTTCCCTCCTCTTTCCCTTCTCTTTCCCTCCACCTCATCCTATCTACCCCCTCTTCACCCTCCTCTCTTTTCTCTTCCCTCCCTACTCTTTCCCTCTTTTCTCTCCACTCAACTCTCCCTCTCCTTTCCCTCCCCTTTTTTCCTCCACATCACCCCTCCCTTTCCCTCCCTCATCTCCTTCCCTCTTCCCTCTCCTTCCCTCCTCTCTACCTTCATCTGGAAGGACTTTGCGACCTAGGACTCTCTGACAATAGCTTATGGGTCCGCAGATAACAGATACGCTATTCCTGTCGCCAGTATTCACAAACCATTTTTTTTTTTTTTTTTTTTTTTGACTTAGAAATACAACTCGAAGTGAGTGAGAGGATGGGAGGATGGGGGAGGGAAGGAGGATGGGGGGGAAGGAAGGAGGATGGGAGGAAAGGGAGGGAGGAAATGGAGGAGGGGATGGAGGGAGTATGGGGAGAGAGAGAGGAGAGAGAGAGAGAGAGAGAGAGAGAGAGAGAGAGAGAGAGAGAGAGACAGAGACAGCAGACAGACAGACAGACAGACAGACAGACAGACAGACAGACAGAAAGAAAAGAAGAGAAAAATGAAGATAGAGAGAAGGACAGAAAATGAAAATCAAGAAAGAGATAAGGGAGAGGGAAAAAGAAAAAAAGAAAAAAGAGAGAGAGAGACAGACAGACAGACAGAGAGAACAGAGAGAGAGAGAGAGAGAAGAGAGAGAGAGAGAGAGAGAGAACAGACAAAGAGAGACAGACAACAGACAGACAGACAGACAGACAGAGAGAGAGAGTAGCAACCACCCAGCCAACCCAAAAAGACTTCCTCTCCCTTATCATTATAATTATCGAAGAGATTTTGATATTTTTCCCTGGTGGAAGAGGCGGGGGGGGGGGGGGTCATATACACCGAATAATAGACTGACAGTTAGATGGATGGAAAGAAATAGAGAGAGATGATCGATAGATATATGAGGGGAGGGGGAGGTGGATCGACAAGGAGAAAGAAGAGGAGGAGGAGGAGGAGGAGTAGTAGTAGTAGTAGTAGTAGTAGTAGTAGTAGTAGTAGTAGTAGTAGTAGTGTAGTAGTAGTGTAGTAGTTAGTAGTAGTAGTAGTAAGTAGAAGCAGAAGGGAGAGAAGGAGAAGGAGAGAAGGGAAAATAAAATAAAAATAATGACAAAACAATAATAATAACAAAAGAAAAAGAAGAATTAGAAGAATTAGAAGAAGACGACGAAGAAGAATGAAAATAAGGAGCAGAAGAAGAAGAAGAAATAGGGTTTGGGAGAAGCAGAAGAGTGGTTCAAAGCGTGACCTCAAGGGCTGTTAGGGGAGCCTACAAAGAGGGGGAGGAGGGTGAGGGGAGTGGGGAGAGGGGATGGAGGATGAGGGGAGGGAGGGAAGAGGGGAGACACGTAGGGGGAAAAAAAGATGGGGGCGAAGTGTAGGCAGCGAGGGAGGGGAGGGAGAGGGGGGGAATGGATGGATGGTGGGGGGGGTAAGGGGAAACG